TTTTCCGCTTTGATTGATAAAAATGTTTATTCCTTTTTGTTAGCATTGGTTTTGTATCGATTTTTGTTCACTAAGATGTCGTCTACCTACCTTTAGAATAAGGTTAGACAAATATTGAATTAATGGGTGAGACAATATGTCAACTTCTTTTCCTTCTCTAATCTAAACATACGCTCGAGTATTGTATAGACTTTCCAAATCATTATCCCCACTTCGATTTAGTTCCCCTCTTTCCCCACTTCTCGACGATTACACCATCCCGTTGTGTTGTCCTCTCCTATTCTCCCGAACCCTCAATTTAGCTAGTCCTAAGAGCATCTCCAATGGAGTTATAGATTGAGCCAGATAGTGTGCCACATCATCCCAAAATGTTTACAAGTCAAGAAAAAGGTGAAGGTTCAATTAAATTTTTTTAACTTATCTTCACTCTTTTTCTACACTCTCTCAAGTTCGCATCCTCATTGAAGATGATCTTCTCTTCATTCCCATTTTGTTTGTCACTTGTATAATAATTCATATTGTTGCATTGGAGATGCTCTAAGCGTCCCACTGTACCCCAAGTACGTGTCAAGGAAAATTAAACGGGTCCTCAACCTATTAGTAATGTACCAAGAAGGCTCAATCTATTATTTTGGTGGCCGAAATCCCTAACCTTTAATTTTTGTTGCATTCGAGTCTTTAAAAACTCAAAATTTTATGAAAACGGACAATTATACGCTTGCATTTAATTAAAAAAATGAAATAAAACAGTATATAAAATCCTCCAAGTTATCAACTTGCCCCGTCTCTATGGATGGATTTTGTTTTTCTTTTATATATTATGTTGATTTATTTTTTGTTTAATTAAGCATATGTATAAATTGTATGGATTTTCCAATCAAACGCAATGGTAAAATGATTAATTGGGGATTCAAACATGTGTTTTAAGTTAAAATACTCTCTCAGTTCCAGAGATTGTTTCACGCATTTAGTGCTAAAATGGAATACCTAACCACGTCTATCGAATAAAAAATGAGTTGGTGGGGGGGGGGGGGTGGGG